AAGTGGCCATGCATTGCCTCGACACAAGACACACCTTTGTATTGGCTAAAGCACGCATCATCGAAGATTGCCACTCCAAACATGGCCGAGAATTCCTCGGAGCCATGCATTTCGAGGATTCATGCATTAACCGGCACGTCGAGTTGGATGGCATTTATAAACGCATCAAAGAACGATGGAAAATACAGAGGCCACAGGACAGAGACTAACTGAGATCAAACCTACCAATCATGTCTCACTTTGCATAACTATTGCGTTTTTCGGCAGTTTTTAAATTTCAATTGCCCATTGCACTTTTCATGTTAGTCTTGTTAGTCCGAAGAGGAGTTAGGGTGCCAAACTTGAAGATTCACTCATTAAAGTTATTTTATCCGAAGGGAACATCTTCTTCAAATTTAAATGTCTTGGCATGCGCGTGTTCCAGTTTATACAAGTTATAATAAACAACACTTACTGCCCTTGGACTTCTTCTTCTTTCGATGAAAGATCTTCCTGAAGGCGTTGGCAACTTTTTCCCGTTTTCTACGTTTCTCGGGATTACCGGAGTCGTTGAGCACTGGTTCGCCCTCGGAGTTTTTGCTCTTGCCATATTCCTTACCGTCCTTTTTAGTTTCTGTTTTATGTGTCCCACCTCCGGCACCCGTGACAACTGCAACTGTACCAGCCGGGTTTTGCCTGACAGCACTTGATTCATCGTGATCAAAGCTGACTCGGCGTGCCGGAGTAGAGACTGGTTCAACATTATTTAGGGCAGACCCAGGGGCTGTATTTTCTCTGTCAGCAATGGCTTCAGTTGGGGGCATGGAGTCATTTAGATGACACTTAGGAGGACGACGCACGCTGGTGTCACTGTCTGCAGTTGGAAGAGTGGCAACACTTTTCAAGGCAATTGCCTCATTCCCAGGACTCCTTTCAGCTGAGTTGAGGTCGTACTTACCTTTCGGATAGCGTTTAACCTGCAAACTTTGTCTATTTTTCATAGACGTACTCGAGCTGAGAGGGGTTAGAGCTCCCGATTGCTGGTTCTGGCCTTCATTGTGC